ACCCTTGACAGGACATCCAATCATCCATAGACCTTCGACATCACTCATGCGCACAACAAGCTTCCCATTACTCGGGGCCTCACACACGCATCATGSATAGACAAAAGCGGCAGCAATGGAGATAAAAGCGAGTCCTTCTTGTACACGAAAATTCTCAATTAACTGCCGCCCCCAGGCGCAACCTTCAAAACTTCCCAAGACCACCGACCACCATAGCCACAAGGCCCNTCCTTCTTGTACACGAAAATTCTCAATTAACTGCCGCCCCCAGGCGCAACCTTCAAAACTTCCCAAGACCACCGACCACCATAGCCACAAGGCCCTGCCGCGGCCGGCGTCCAATCCCCACCACTGCTCAGTCCCTCCGACTGCTTGGCCCCGAGTCTATAGCGGGACCACCCCGCGTCGTCACTCCGCCCGTCCTTGGGCTCGTCGAGCCTGTTCGGTGCCGCGGACTTCGAGCATAGCTCGCACAGCATTGCAGCCGAGATCAAAGAGAGAGAGAGGAGAGGGTTGCGCGAATTTATAGCGAGGGAGGCGGCGGGTTGTCAGCGCGAGTTGCGGGCAGCGCAGGGTGTAGATGAGTAGGACAGGAGAAATGTGGGGAGTTAGAGGGTTCGACCCGCAGGATTGCATGGTCCTACGTGATTGGGGTGTTCATTCAAGTGGTGCGCGGTTTCCCGCTCTCCACATTGATCCGAGCATCCCAACTGCGCGGCCAATCACTTCGCAGAGAAGATGGGGTAAGGATCGAGCTGGGCGGAGGGGAAGACGAAGAGTCCTGCATGGGGGAAACGCGCGCAGCAAGAAGGGAAGATGGCGCGGGGATGCAAAGCAAGAAACGGGGGTGCGAGACGCGCGAAGAAGTCGGAGCTTAGACGTGCGCGCGCAAAAATTCAAAAAGTCCCCACCGAAACCGTTTCTTGGTTTTCATACCGCGGCCGCTATTCGCCCGCGCGGGAGTTATTAACCAGAAAAAATGAAAAAGTCGTTTCAAAAAGAAAACAAAAGCAAAAAGAAAGAAAAACCCCTGTTTGTCCGCGTTCGTAATTCAGGGCTTCCGCGGGATTTTTCCTCAGGGATACGGCAAGCCGCGCGGTACGGGTCTGAGCTTATCACATCTGTGATACGCAGGGGGTTCTGAAAAATTAGCAGTCTCCCGACTGCTGATGTCATCATATCTTGGATGATCGGGCGGCCTCTTCATCGTCAGCTGGCCCGATCATCTTCCTAATCTACGTGGATGCATTCTGCATCCTCCATTGCCTCCTCCCATAATATACATCCGATCGGGCGACCCCTTGATCGTCAGCTGGCCCGATCGGTAAGTAACTGAATTTTTGTTTTTTTTTATGGAGATATACAGCGCGTATCATTGCGTGAGCTTTAGATCCGGAAAAGAAGAAGACAAAGAAAGAGGTGGTGGTGGAGATGATCATAGGAAGTAATCAATCTCCGGATTGAGAGGGGGAGGAAGAGGAGGGAGGAACGCCGCGAGCGCGGCCAAGTTGGCTGGCACTTCCACTTTATTGAAGTCGTGCTGGACAAAGGAGGGGTAAAGGAAAGCCCCCGGCACATGCGAGAGGACCCGTGGCGCGAGATCGGCGATCGCTCGAATGACCCATCGTCGCAGCGACCGATTTCTTGGACCCGTCAGCACCAGATGGGTCTCCGTGTACAGCCTCCGCTCCCGCTTAACTGTCGTGAAGACCAGGATATGGTACATAATGTTGGGCCGCCCGCCGGTCTTGTAGATGAGCGTGCCCACCAACCTCGCTGCTATACATCCGTCGAATGGAGGCTGCAAGAACGCCTCCCATGCCGGATCAGGACGTGGCGCCCCCTCGATGGCCTCAAGCCGGATGGTGGCCAGTTCCACCATGTGATCCACGTCGGTTTGATGGACCGTCCGGCTCGGGGGAACTGCTAATATCAATGACCGGGGTATCCCGGGGGGGTTGGCGAAATCGGAACGGTCCTGCAAGGAGGGGGGGTCTGGATGCGGGATATGGAACTCGTCCCAATCCCCCCCCTGCGCCTGATGGCCCGACTCCATGGCTATTGAGATCGGGGAGGCGGGGCCGCTGAGGTGTCGATTCCCTATGGCCTGTGGACCTCTGCGGTTCTTCGGCGGGGCAGTCCTCCCCCAGTCGGGGCCCGATGATGAGGGTGGCTCTTCTCTCGCGAACCGGATCGACTCCGCGCACCGCCGCAGGCTGGACAACCTCCTCGATAGGCCCCACCCAACTGGCCTGAGCTTCCGGCAATGGACTTCGTCGCCGCTTGGGGACGGTTTTCTTTCTCGGTGCCTTCAAGGCCGTCGGCTTTGGATATGATGATGGAGGCCACAGCGGCTTGTCTTCGTGCCCGAAGTCCACCACGAACTCCCCCTCATGCGCCAGGTAATCAGGTATCACCGCCGCGTTATACGCTCTTCACGGGGCGGAGGCGGTCCGCAGTCTGAGCTGCAAGTCTTCTTCTTCTGCGGCGATTACCTGCGCAATGGACAGCAGCTCGATGTGGATGAGTTGTAAGAGCCCCGGGCAATTCGTTCCGATTCTCCCGAAAGGGTAAAGCGCCACCGTTCCCTCCTTCCGCTGCGGCTTCGGCTTGGCAATGACGTAGTATACATAGAGGAACTCGCCGACGTTATGAATTTCGTGCTCCACGAAGAATGTAAACATGCCCAGCACCACCGACGAATACAGCGCCCGGTGCAGCTCCCACGCATCCTTGTCAGCGGGCGGCAACTGCTCAACGTCCGTCAGCTCCACCAGGTGCTCGGGGAAGTTGCGCATAGGATAGGGGAGCTGTGTCAGTTGGTAAGGGAGGGTAGTGTAAGAGAAGAAGGGAGGCATTTAGAGAGAAGGGGGAGGGATAACTTGAATGTTGAGGGGCTCGGCGAGAGGGAGGAGCGCGGGGAGCTGCGGCACCAATGCAAGTGCTCCCTCCAGAGTCCGCCGCAGAAGTCCTTCGTATGCGGTGAAGCGATGGGTGCCCCTCGCCTGCTCTCGCGCCATCGATCTAGCCACCTGGAGGGCGTAGTCGCGCAAGAACCTGTACGTCGGCTCCCGATCGTGCCCGGGCAAGACGGTTAAATCCCCGGTGAAAGTAGCGACGCTGTGCACGAAGTTCGTAGCCACCTGGATGGCTCGGAACTCGATAAACACTCGCGTGGATTCCTGACCAGGCACTGGCGATATGTCCACATAGACGCCCGCGTACGTCACACGCTGCACGAGGAGCGAGTACACCGCCAAGTCAGCAACGCTGGGTGCCGACACGTTCACTTGCTGAATGTCGAAGCGCAGCTGCCGATCGTCGTTGAACCGGTTCCAGAGAAGAGCGTCCGAGATGGGCGGCTGGAAGTGCTCGAGCAGTTCATGCTCCTGTTGGCGATGGTTCATCCTGCAAGGCAAGGTCTTCCGCGGATGCCGACGACGCCGATCGGAGAGAAGGGGGAGAAGGAGGCGAGGACGAAGGAGCACGAGAGAGGGACGAAGAAGATGATTCGGGCAGGACAGGTGGCCGCACGAGATCCAGCGATGGCCGAAAAGGCCGGAGAGCAGCAGCGTGCCTCGTCAGCGGGCGGCCTTCCGAGTTGTGCCTGGGAACCAGCTTCACGAGTGCTGGCCTCGTTCGCCAACTTCCGTCACCTCGTAAATGCCTGTGTAGCGTGGGTGGATCTTGGAGGAGCGCGCGGATTTTCGTACCTGCACCAAGTCCCCAACTTTATAGTGAGGTAGTGGTCCCGCGGACAAATGTCGGTTCTCGTAGTCGCGGATCGTGCTGGGCCCGTGTTGCTCTAACTTCCGTACCTACCAAGGAAGACAACTGCACCTGAGGGACACTATTGGTTCTCAGTTGGAAGGGGGACACCCCAGTACTACTGTGTAGGGTAGCCCGATAGACGGCCAAGATGTGGTCGACAATGACAGGCCAGGGCCGGGTGTCTCCCGCAGTGATATTCCGTCTAAGAGCGGTCTTAATCAGTCGGTTGGCATTCTCTACCAGGCCATTGGCTTGAGGCCAATGCTTCGGCAAGTAGATAATCCTAACGCCCGCCCTGACTAGGTGACGTTCTACCTCGCCTTGATATTCCGACCCATTGTCCATGTGTACCTCTTCTAGGTCTAGACGCATGCACAAAAATCGGTTTATGTACCAGGCTACCTCCTGTGAATTCCGGCTGGTCATAGGGTATGCCTCGATCCATTTCAAAAAATGATCGACGGCCACTAAAAGAACATTGAGCTCTCCCTGATCGACGGGACCTCTCGGAACGTTGATATATGTCGTCTCGATACTAACCCTCTGAAAATGCCGCTCTACTAGAGTAGGCACCATCGTCCGAGGCATCTATACCGGTGCCTTGTCCGCCGTGCAGGGCGGGCAATTCTGGACGATGTATTTCGCATCTTCCCAAATTCCCGACCAATACCATCCATTCTTTTCGATAGCCTTTTCCGTGTATTTGACCGCGAAGTGGACCGCATCCTCTTCATGAGTGGCTCGGGTCCAATCGAACCTAGCTAAAGGGTGCGGAACCGTCAACCAGCTAGACCCTCCGTCATCCTCGATTTTTCGTTTTTGTGACGTCGATCCCTGCCAGCGATAATCGTGTGCCCGCTCCATGACTCGCCGCCGCTCGGCTTTGGTCAGTTCTGTCAGCGAGTCACCTGTCAGTCTCCTTAACAACAGGAGGTCCGTTCAGACTTCTGCCCTGCGAGCACTGGGCGCAAATCCGTCGGCTGTTCTTGCGTCCAGATACCGCTTCTCGATAGGGACTTGGTCCGTTCTACAGTTGGGACAGACCCATGTCTTTTCACTTCGGTACCTAACGCACTGTCCGTGAGATTTGACCGTATGACACTGACTACACTGTACCCATAGAAGAAAACTAGGCCCTCCCGGATGTGACCCTTTTCGATCTGGGACCATAGGCAGAGTACAGAAGAAACAGGAACTTAGATGTGACTTAGAGGAGGCGTTGGGACTAGACGAGGGAGCAAGAGAACTGGACGAGAGAAGGAGATGGCGTCCACCATCTCTGGCGAAATCTCCATTCTAGACTCAGGCGTCGCCCTTGCGCAGCACGTGCAGCCCCCCGTAGCGCGGATCCGTCGGAATGGCTTCCGGCTTCCACGGAATGAGTCGCTCATTGGCGGGACACTTGTTGGGCGGCAGGAGGCGCGTTAATCCATCGGCGTTGCCATGCTGCCGCGTGGCACGGTGGCGAATGTCGAAGTCATAGTCCTGCGGGCGCACCGCCCACCTTCCCAGCGTCCCTGTGTAGTCCGTGTTGTGGCGTAGGGACAGCAGCGGCTGATGATCCGTTACCAGCACAAATTTCTGGTCGTAAAGATACGGCCGGAAATGCTCAATCCCCCACACCACCGCTAGACATTCCCCTTTGCATGCTTCGTAATTAGACTGCACCTGGCTCAGCGTCTTAGACGCATACTCAATGACGTGCTCCCTTTCGTCCGTTCCTTGCTGAGTCAGCACCGCCGATATCGCCTGCGACTGCCAGTCGGTATGCAGCGCAAACTGTCTCGTCGGATCGGGACGCGCCAACACGGGTGCCGATGTTAGAGCCTCCTTGAGTGCCCGAAAAGCCGCCTCGCATTCCAGCGTCCAGATCAGCTGCTCCTCCTTCTTCAGCAGGTTCGTCAGTGGCTTGGCGAGGCAGGCAAAGCTCCGAATACCAGTGAAGCGTCGATAATAAGAGGCCAGCCCTAGGAAGGCTCCAACCTGAGTGAGCGTGATCGGGGTTGGGGCTTCTCGAACCGCCGCTACCTTCCTGGGATCCGGTTTCAGTCCCTCGACCGTGACGATGTAGCCCAAAAAGGAAATTTCGGACAAAAAGAACTCGCTTTTCTCCGGAGCCACTTTGAACCCCGCATCCTTCAACGCATGCAACACCCATTCGACATGTTCCACATGGTACTCGTAGGTTTTGGAAAAGACCAAAATATCATCCATGTACACAATCACACAGAAATTTATCAACGGCTGTGTCAAACGGGTTTTGTTAACGAACTCGGCGAAGGCCATATTCATGGCCCGTTGGAATGTTGCGGGGGCGTTGCAAATTCCCATGGGACACTGGATCCGCTGCCACGTGCCCTCGAACAGGACAAAAGCGGTTTTGGGCCGGTTTTCCGGTCGGACTGCAACGTGATGAAAACCGTGTCGGATATCGAACTTTGAAAAGACTCGAGCGGACCCGATAGCATCCAGCAGATCGTCAATCCGCGGTAGCGGATAGACGTCTTTGGTAGTAATAGTGTTTAATTTGCGGTAGTCAATACACACTCGGACTGAACCGTTTCGTTTTGGCACGAGGACCACAGGAAATGACCATGGTCCCAGCGATGGTTCAATCCATCCTAACCGTTCGAACTCCCGTACCCTTTCCAGGACCAGTTGTCTTTCCTTTAGTGAATAACGGTACGGTCGGCAATGTATCGGGGCGCGATCACCGGTATCAATCGCGTGTTGGATCAGGTGGGTAAGTCCTATATCGCGATCCTGGATACTGACGGCTTCCGGGAGGGCCCGTATAACTGCCAAAAGAAGGCGTTTGTAGTCGTTCGGGACACGGGCTGGTAATTGAACTTCTACGGTTCCCCCAGGAAGGGAGACCATCGTCACAACCGTGGGGACCGCCGTGCTGGCATCAGGCGAGGCACCAAACAAGGAGTTGCCGGTCCTCGCCGAAAGGACAGTCGCAATGAGTTGACTTTCCGCCGGGCTTATCGTCTCGCTTTCCATGTCACTGTCACTGTCCAGTTCGGCTTCGGCCGAAGGTTCTACCGAAAAGGCCTGCGCCAGTTCCCTTGGTCCCCATCGATATCCCCTTGTTCGGGGTTGAAACGACACCCTCTCCTTCAGGAGCATAGTGGCTTTTTCATTCGTAAGTAGGGGCCGTGGGGGACGGGAAGACAAATCGCACAACCCCCTAAGCTCTGTAAATCTTTCGAGAAGGGGGTCCGTCCGGAGGTATAAGGACGCAGGGGGTTCCGAGAGGTCAGTTATTCGGGACACCCTCAGCAAGGGTTCTCCCTGCACGATAGAGGAGAACGCATGGGACTGATTGGATTCACTCCGAACAATTTTCATGGGTTCTCGCCGCCAAGAATGGCGCCACCGATCCTAAACCCGGATCGGATATCGATCGGGTACATCCGTCTCATCAGTTTCCGACGAGGTTTCATTTTCGCCTGGTGACAGGCGTCGGATCATGTTGATTTGATGGGCTTTCGTGGTGATTCGAGGCGCCGGCTGGGTGTGCATACGCACCGCCAATCTCATTGGTATCGTTTGTGGTTTGGGGTGGGCCGATGTGAGCACCACCTTACAGCTGTCAAAGTGCATTCGCGCTCCGACCGCCGCCTGCCAGGGAATGCCTAGCAAAACATCATACGCCTGTACATCCAACACGATTGCGTCGCACAAACAATGCACCCGCCCCACCCGTATAGGCACGTTCGTTATCCGCCCTTTACAATGAATGTTGTCTTCCATAGCGGGTATATACAGTTCATCCGGTCGGAGGGGCTGAACCTGTCCTTCCCTTCCCAATTGTTTCGTCAATCTCCAAGAAATGGCGACCGCTAACGATCCCGAGTCTAGGATGGCGGTCGAGAGGTTTCCTCAGACCTCGCAGTCACACTCAATGCTTTTCCAGGTTATAGGATAGGCTCGGAGGAATACCTCGGGTTTTTCCGATGCAGAATCTACGGTCTGGATCATTCCTATCCGGTTGGCTTCATGCACCTTTGAGGTCGAGGGCTGCAACTCCTCGTTTGTGGGTAGGTCCCGTAGGACCGACTTTTTGCCCTTTCGACTTTCTTCGAATCGGCGCCTGTTTTTGAGGCATCGTTCGATCAACTTTTCGTTAGCCGCTTCGGAAATGGTTAGCAGATAGGGAATAGGGACGGGGATCCGCAGATCCAGAGCCTTCAATGCATCCAACACGTCGATATGACCGTCTTTGTACTCAGGGCCAGGGGCCATGAGATCTTCGAACCCCGGTCGCCAAGGCCCGAGGTCGCTTTCCTCGGTAATCCTTTGGACGTGACGTATCACTCCAATGGTCCCAGGTTCGAACATCGCCGCAGCCATGTACTCATCGGGTCCTATCTTGGTAGCCGCAGGGGTCACCATTTCCGTTGTTCCAGTATCCATTACCGTGGCCACCCTCCCTTGTCCTACAGCAGTTGGAGCAGCCAGCGGGATTTGGGAAGGTCCGGTGGGCCCCGCGGGCCCACCCTGAGTTCGAGGTTTCGGACAATCTTTCGCAAAGTGGCCTGGCTGATTACAGTTATAACATCGTAAGGGCGGGACAGCCCCGGCTACGGCCGATCTTATCATAGGGGCCCCGGCGGCCATAGCCGCTTGTTGCCGTTGTGCGGCGGCTTTGCGTTGCCGCTGCAAACCCTGAACAAACTCCGTCACCGGGGCCACTACCGTAACTAGTTGGGCCGCGACCTCTTTCATGGATACTTCTTCCTTGCCCCGGCCTCCTTGAGCTTGACTAGAGCGACGGGGGGTCGAAGCAGAGGAAGAAGCTTTCCGATCCGAGCCTTTTTTTGTCGGACCCAACCCAAAGCGATCTTCGAACATTCGTGATGTAGCGGAGTAGCTAATGCGTCGAACACCCGAAGGGTCGTCTTCGTCGGATTCTGAGTCCAGCCCCACATCGTAATTTTCTTTCCTGTACTTAATGGTGTACTGAATTAGCTTCGTCAGGGTATGTTCTATAGGGTTGCATTTCTTGCGGATCTTTTTCTGCAGGCGAGAATCTGATAATCCTCTGACGAAATCAGTCTGTACCATTTTCTCGTCCACCCCGGAGTGTTCGGCTAGGTACGTAAAACGTTCAGAATATCTAGCCAAGGTTTCCCGAGGCTGCTGCGTGTATTCCTTTATTAGACGGAGGCATTGACCTAGTGCGATGTGATCAAATCTGTCGAGAAATTTCCTCAAGAAGGCTAACCAATTAGTGAAGGGATTCTGTCCATACCACTCAAAAGCGGTTTCGGCTAACCTTCCGGGGATTCGTTCTCGGAGCAACTGGTCCGACCAGCCCTGGGCTTTCAAGGCAGCTAGCCAGGTGCGAGGGTCGGTATCATCTTCGAAAAAAAAATAGGAACTTCGGAGGGAGGAGGTACAAAATACAGGGGATGATTGGCCATCCCAGCGTGGTTATCGCCGTCGTTTCCACCCCCAATTATGGGCTCCACCATCGCGGGAGGCGGATCTCGGGCCCGGCCTCTCGCTCTCTTCTGATTGCTATTCGCGGGCCGCCGTCGACGGGGAGCCCGCCTACTCAAAAATGAGAAAAATCTAAAAAGAAAGATAAAAAAGAAAAAACTCTTAAACAGGGTAATCGTCCTAGGAAAACCTCGGAGCCGAAACAAATCAGCTCTGATACCAACCTCACGCCCCCTCGCGGCTTCCCGTACTGGGCCGCCGATCAGAGTTCTAGGAGGGGCGTGGCCGAGGATTTTTGGCCGTAGGGGTGGAGTCTCCCGGACAGAACGGGAGGGTCTCGTTTCGTGCCAGAGGTTACCCCGGAGTCGAACTGTCGTCGCGAAGTCCCCCGGGGGGAGGTCGGGTCACTTCGAAATACTAAAATCAAAAGGATTTCCACGAAAATGAACGGTCGTCGTGCATCAAGACGGAAAAAGTCATCAAGGGGAGAGGGCCATGCCGGCGGAAGATGGAAACTCCGGCCGTCATGGGTTTGAGGGATAGGTGGTGGGTTCGAGGCCTTCAAGCCTCGGCATCGGACTTGCAAAGTCCGCGCGGAAGTTTTCGAGAGGGTGAAGCGGCGGGAGGACTCGTCGGCATCCGAATTCGAAATTGCGCGGGCAGCACCCCTGCATCACGGGAGAGCTCAGGGAAACGTGTTGCTCCCTCGTAACCCAGGACCAATCGTCGCCAAGAACACGAGTCCCCCTGGCGACACCAGCGACAATCAAACTGCGGTCGCCACGTGGCGTGAGCGACCGACCAAGGCAACACCGTCAAACCCGTGTAAGGCAATATTAAAGTCGGGGAATCAAAGCGATCAATTAAGACAAACCCGTCTCCCCTGATATTGAACGCCCGGGGCGGGTTTCGCCAACATACTTGCTCCGTTTGACTCAAAGCGCGCCGTACATCCGCATCGCAGTAGACACCGTCGTCATCTGTGATGGGAAAGGCTGGTAGCGAGTTGGGATGATCGTAGGTAGGCGATGAACACGGGCCATACCCCACGCTCCCGGTCCTCCGTACCAACACCGTCTCCATACAACACTCGTTGTAATCCTTCTCTCTCAAGGTTAGTGCGCCGGGAGAAGATGAGGAAATCTAAGTTCTCTTCCCCGTCGCGGGGGCGTCGACCGCGCGCGCGGACGCAGGCGGTTGACGTCACCGGTGCGGGGACGAGAAGTTCAAAAGCGATGACTACCCGTTCAAAAAGGAAAGGCGAGAGAGAGGAAGAGAGAGAGAGTGAGTTACACCGAGACTGCGCATGCKCGCAGGAAGGGCCGCGGAAGGGAGGGGAACAACGRGATTAACACACTCATACTCCTAAGCAGACGGTCCTCCAGTTCAGTTCCCCCGTCCCCGCCCGGACAAGTACATACAAACATACATGCATGCAATCAACAACCCTTGACAGGACATCCAATCATCCATAGACCTTCGACATCACTCATGCGCACAACAAGCTTCCCATTACTCGGGGCCTCACACACGCATCATGGATAGACAAAAGCGGCAGCAATGGAGATAAAAGCGAGTCCTTCTTGTACACGAAAATTCTCAATTAACTGCCGCCCCCAGGCGCAACCTTCAAAACTTCCCAAGACCACCGACCACCATAGCCACAAGGCCCAGCCGCGGCCGGCGTCCAATCCCCACCACTGCTCAGTCCCTCCGACTGCTTGGCCCCGAGTCTATCGCGGGCCCACCCCGCGTCGTCACTCCGCCCGTCCTTGGGCTCGTCGAGCCTGTTCGGCGCCGCGGACTTCGAGCATAGCTCGCGCAGCATTGCAGCCGAGATCAAAGAGAGAGAGAGGAGAGGGTTGCGTGCATTTATAGCGCGGGAGGCGGCGGGTTGTCAGCGCGAGTTGCGGGCAGCGCAGGGTGTAGATGAGCAGGACAGGAGAAATGTGGGTGCGAGACGCGCGAAGAAGTCGGAGCTTAGGCGCGCGCGCGCAAAAATTCAAAAAGTCCCCACCGAAACCGTTTCTTGGTTTTCATACCGCAGCCACTATTCGCCCGCGTGGGAGTTATTAACCAGAAAAAATGAAAAAGGCGTTTCAAAAAGAAAATAAAAGCAAAAGAAAGAAAAACCCCTCTTTGTCCGCGTCCGTACTTCGGGGCTTTCGCGGGATTTTTCCTCAGGGATACGGCAAGCCGCGCGGTACGGGTCTGAGCTTATCACATGTCTCTCGTTGTCCCTTCAGGCAGGACACCCATCCGCACCCAACTTTCTCCGGTGAGGTCTCGCCTTCCTGAAATCCTGACCCAATGATCAAACCACTACCCCCACCATTTTGCAGACCTGGGACAGACCCACCAAAGGTGATGCATGGTTTCGATAATCCAGCTACATCTGCCACAGGCTTCCTGCACCGATATCCCTCTTCACCTGGCCACTGGAACTTCTTAGTGTGACTGCAGCCATAAGAGCGAGCTTATCTTTTGTGAAGGCATTTGTGTTAGCTGGGTCCACAACTTATACATTCCTTTCTGTGACGGAGGAGAGAGGCGGGGAATACCGCTTTCCCAACGATCACAAGCTGACTTGACCACTCTTTTTCCTTTAGTCAATCTCTTCCTCTGATAGCAAACTGCAAGGTTTGCTAGGTCCCACATTCTATCCTCCTCCAACTTCCATCCCCAGCTTGTCTGATCAATTCCGAGCTCTCTGGCCAATCCGCCACCTGCCTCCACTTCATGTTCATTAGAGCTTGAAGGGTGGTCCCTTGCATTCAGACAGCCCTGAGGTGTCGTACCGAGTGATACTCCGGATTCGCATGAGTCTGTGACGAACCACTTCCCGACCCCGTGCTATCTTTCGTACCCTTTCTTTTGCTTGTATCATACCAACCCCAGGAAAGCCCCGTTTTGATTTCTTGCTTTTGGGTACCACATTTTCCTTTTTTTGAGAGCTTTTTCGACTGCTGGGTTCTGTTTTTCTTTTTGCAAAGTCGGGAAATACATGGGAATTTACGTGCGCCTTTCAGTTAGCGAGCGCACTGGCAATTGGGCTCAGCAGTTGGGAATTCCGGAATAAGCGGAGCTTCGACGAGTCCTTTTCGAGTGTATGAATGTTCTTGGGCGCATCGGGAAAAACTCTCGGAATTTGGCGTGAATACAAATAGGCGTAGGATTTTTCTTTTACCGCATCGCTTTTTCACGCGCGGGGATATGGTGATTTCAATTTTGAATTAGGATAGAAGCAAGTTGTAATTGTTTCGGTGCCTTTTTCCTTTTTTTTGTTGACGGCGCCGTGCATGCAAAAGCTTCCTCCCCTCTGGCCCCCTGTATCGCTCCCTCCCGCGCTCCCTTTCCTTCTCCCTCCTCTTTCTCTCTCCCCGTAACTGTTTCTTTCTCTCTCTCCCTCCCTCCCCCGCCTTGCTGTTTGCGCGCCCATTTCCCTTTCTTGATCGTCTAAATCTTGGACCCGTCTTGCGCCAACTCTCGTTCCTTTTCTCTTTTCACCCTCTGAGTCTGGCGTACGACGCCCGGTCGATTCCCCCCCGATAACTCCCACCCGCCAATCAGGTGCGTGGATCGATAGGACCTTCCTATCGCGCGACGAATCTGATTGGTTGAACCTTGAGTTCCGAGGGATCAACATGGCGTTCGTAGAGCACTCTTCTCAAAGTCTTCTCCTCGTGCTTCCCCTCTTACACCTCATCTATCCTGTCGCCTTCTCCCCCTTTTATCTCCCCTGTCGCAACTATAAAACCTGCAAGCGCGTCCGCAAATCTCTCTTACGTTCTCGACTCCTAAGCCAGCTTCCGGGAAGCAGTGGCTAGGCAGGGTGGATTGATGCGAGTCGGAAAGTCCTGTCGGGCTGAGGATAGGCTGGCCGGTTGCGCGCTTGATCGCCACGACGGACTGTGGTATCCGGGCGAACCGTGTCGAGTTTACGACAGCGGGGTGACGATCGCAGTGGTGGGAGTTAGCACGCGACGGCCGGGATCGTCGGTGCGGGTATGAGGTTCGATGATTGGAGTTGAGTGAGTGATTGGCCCGGGGCCATAGTGGAATTAACGGCGAATGCGCCTTTGTTGCGGATTGTTATCCTTGGCGTGAGTGTAAGGCGGCGACGCCGAACTTTTTTCTTTTCGGACCTTGTCGTCTTCTATTTTGACTCTCTCTCTCTCTCTCTCTCTCTCTCTCTCTCTCTCT